AGGGCATTTATTTGAGGGAGGCATTCATTCCAAATTCCAGTATCTGGCACACTTTATTTAAAATTTGAATACAAGGCCCACATATAGGCCTGACATGTAACACATGCGTGGCACGCACAAATTATTCCAAATGAGGCTCTAGAATGGAGAGGGGGCATTTATTCAAATAAATACAGTATGTCACATTTCACGTTGCCCGAAAGTTGTTTTTTTCACACAGCCACCAATGTTTTGATTTCATCACCAAGATTAACTGAATTGTTTTTGCTACTTTACGAAATTTTTAATAAATGCTCAAGGCATTTAAGATTAAATTAAAACAAGCTGAAAAAAGCTGGAAAAAAAAATCAAATTTACTATTTAAACTGTAAACTAAAAAAAAAAAACACCACTAAAATCATAACCGCTCTGTTTTGAATCCGAATACATTAAATAAATGATCAACATCACATATACTAATATTAATTTCTTGTTTATGTGACTACTTAATATTAATAACATCCATCCAGGGATACTACACTATTTATGTTTATGCATACTGTAGTGTACACTTGGAAATATTCCAAAATATTAGGCATTTTTCGTCATTCAATTATTTTCCTTAACACTGTAGATAAATCTTGGAGACATTTATTGTAAATTGTAATATTTTTTATAGTGAATTGCATAATTCAATACAAATATCATTGAAAGTTTAATTTTATTTACGCAGTTTTTTTTTAACATTTGAGGCATGTCGTGGCAAAATGGTTAAGTTGTCGTACAGTTCATTATTGAGTAAATGAGCTATAAAATATGGGAGCTCAAAAAATTGCCTAAAAATCCAAATTTGTTTTTCACTATAGATCTACAGTTTAATGTCTTATTAATCATCTCCCAAAGTATTAGTTCTGGAAGTGGTCAACAAATTGTTTATTTAACGTTATTTTTATAGTTCATTCTATTAAACAATGTATGCACAAATAACTTCAAAAGGCAATTACTCAAAATCATGTTTATCTTTACTGTACGAGTACTGTACATTCACTTTCCAATAACTTAGGCTTGAAATGTCCAATTTGAATAAGTGACCCCTCATTTTAAAGATCACATACTCAGGTATCTGAAAATACCAATAACTTGAATTTCAATTTTTGCTACAACTTAGCCATTTTGCCACGAAATGCCTCATTTTATCTGTAAAATATTGGGAAGACACTGACTATTAAATTAAATAATCTTTTAAA